TAAGTGGCACAGGCACCTTTAGGGGCAAAGCACTGTATTATATACCTTTAACATGTCCCTTAAGCTTGAGCGAGGGCCTACTTCAGCCATTCACATCTACAGCAGGCTCCTTCTGTCTACCCCTCACAGTGCTATAAAAGAAATAACAGGGACCATACTGAGACTCTGTGGGCGTCTGCTATCCTCACTTCCCCAGAAATGTTCAGGAGGTTCCCTATCTTGGACCCTAGGAAATCAACAAGCACCCAACCCTGATTCTGTAACTGTCACTTCCCTAAGAGGAAGCTAGCAAGTTCCCTGTGGAGCGATGAGAGGCCTCAACCTGACTGCAGTGAGCATGAGTTCCAGGTGCTGGGTGTTCAGGCGGCTGGAAGACACACTGGTCCCCTCCCTCATCACTCCTCTAACAGCATACCCAGTCCACTGAGTGAGTCTCTAGTTCTGGAGATTAGAGTTAAAAATAACATGTTGTCTCATGTTTGTGCTGCTCCAAGTGGCAGCATACATGAAAATCATATCTACTCTTAAGTCTTATGGAAGTGCTTTTTAAACAGAATACGGTTCAAAGGTCCCTTCAAACTAAATATCTGAGGATTGTGCATTGAAAGACCTTTGCGTGACTGTTGATTCATTGCCTGGCCTGGATGGTTTCGGTTTCACAGCTCTTTGACCCACTGCAAAGTTTGCTGGGATCCAGTATCTTACCACTTGGGGAAATCCAGAAAGCCTCACAGCGCTGCAGGAGGAAATACCAGAGAACAAAAGGAGACTTTCTACCCACTCTGTGATCAAAAGCCGGTAAGGGACTAACTGACTTCTCTTTTCAGTCTTCTCTCCAGCTCTGAAGAGCTCTGGGGGCATAAGCTGGGCAGAGATGAGAAGGCATTTATGAGAGTTCATTAATTTCTTTAAAACTACCAGAACTAGGAAAGTCTGCTCCTGGGCGTGGGCTGGAGCAAGGCATCAGATGAATCCTGTGTGGTATTATCAAGGCAGCCAGTCTCTAAAGCCCAATAGTGGACTTGCTTTGAGCTAGATATTAGCAGACATGTGTGGTTGAAACAGGGCAGGGTATGCATCGGGACTGTCTTTCTCTGTGTTCACATTGTCTCTGCTGACGGGGACACAGTTAAATGACTATGGTCGGTGATGGAGGGAACTTAGTCCTATTCTTACTGAAAGGGCTGCCTGCAGCTGAGTTACACAGGAAAACAGAATGTGATGCAGGGTAAAGAGCCATCACTATGGTGAATGACAGAGAAGAAACACTGTGTTGATGTAAAAACACAGCTCCCACTTAAAGAGAATAGCAATTTATTCTGGAGCCAAATATGAGTGATGATGACCCAGGAATATAGATTCAGAGCATCCCAGACACCATGTTCCAACTTGGTAAGTCTCCTGTAGTTTTTATAGTTGTAGAACAAAGAATACATTGTCCTTTGTACTTTAAAAATGTATTGGACCATCAGGTTATAATAAAGTGAGGGAGCCTCTGCCACAGGCTTCAGATACTATCAAATAATATTCTTAGCCTTTGGGGAGGTGAGCGCTAGGGGTCTCTTTGTACATTCAAGAAAGGATTTTACTTGATAGTCATAGGAGGTTAAGTCAAGCACAAAGATTGACCATCTAGGCAGCTAAAGATAACCTAGGAAAATCTGGCTCCGGACTTGCAACATTCCAAATCAGTCAGTCAGCCTTGTGGGCTCGTTAACACAGTTGTGGCTGTGTTCTGGGACGCTCAGGTCACAGCTGGCACCAGAGTGAAAGGCGATCAGGGTGGTGACATGTTTTCTATCACACAGCTGACTTCCCAGTAGATCCCTTCAGTAGTGCAGAGCCACTTGCTGTCGAGCCCCCTCAGTTCTTTTCCCTCGCCTGCTCCTGTGGGATTCAGACCCTGTGTTTTACCAAAGGGCTTCCTTTAAGAGTCCCTCGCAGGACTAAGGATGGTTTCTCTGTTTGCTTTACCTGCCACCTGCTCATCTCTCAGTTAATTGTGCCTGTACTTTGGAAATCGCTTCTCTAAACTTCTGGCCACCAGCCTCCCTCCCTGTTTTAACAATTGTCTCCCACCTCTGTTTTCTCCTCTCCTCCTCTTTTTCTTCCCATTTTTTCCTTCTCTTCTGTAGCAAGCAGAAAATCGAAACAGAAACGCCTAAACGTATACAGCAGGAAGTAATGGCTTTCCTCTGACCCTGTCCTCTCTAGCGCTTTTGACCTGCTCCCTGCTCTCTCACTAACTGTATACAGCAGGAAGGATGGCTTTCCTCTGACCCTGTCCTCTCTAGCATTCTTGACCTGCTCCCTGCTCTCTCACTAACTGTATACAGCAGGAAGGATGGCTTTCCTCTGACCCTGTCCTCTCCAGCGCTCTTGACCTGCTCCCTGCTCTCTCACTAACTGTATACAGCAGGAAGGATGGCTTTCCTCTGACCCTGTCCTCTCTAGCACTCTTGACCTGCTCCCTGCTCTCTCACTAACTGTATACAGCAGGAAGGATGGCTTTCCTCTGACCCTGTCCTCTCTAGCGCTCTTGACCTGCTCCCTGCTCTCTCACTAACCACCACAGTTCCTCTCAGCAATATCCAATATTTGAAATTTTTGTTTTGCAAATATTGCTGTTTTTTCAATATTTAATTTCACATCTTTCCTGATTTAAGATCATTTAGTGTATAGCTAATCAAGCTTATGTTTCAGGATACAACTCTTTTTTTTTTAAATTATTTTTTCATTTTACATTCCAACCGCAGTTTCCCCTCCCTTTCCTCTTTCTGCTCCCCCCCCCCACCTCCTTCCTACCCACAGGACCAAGCCACTCCTCCCTGCATCAAGGCTAAGCATAGGGAATGGGCTCCAAAAAGCCAGTTCATACACCAGGGATAAATCCTAGGTCCACTGCCAGGCGCCCCACAAACAGACCAAGCCACACAACTGTTACCCACATTCAGAGGGCTAGTTCGGTCCCATGCAGGCTCAGTCCAGAGTCCATCATCTCTCACTGGCTCAGGTCAATTGTCTCTGTGGGTTTCCCCATCATGATCTTGACCCCCCCCCTTTGCTTATATAATCCCTTCTCCCTCTCTTCGACTGGACTGCAAGAGCTCAGCCCAGTGCTTGGTTGTAGATCTCTGCATCTGCTTCCATCTGTTACTGGATGAAGGTTCTATGATCCTCTCTGGTTTAAGTTCATTTAGTGTATAGCTAATGAAGCTTATGTTCCAGGGTGCAACTCTTTTTTTTTTTTTAAATATATATCCCAACTACAGTTTCCCTTCTCTCTACTCCTCCCAGTCCCTCTCCCCATAGTCCTCCTCCCCTAGATCCACTCATCTTCTGTTCCCCTTCAGAAAAGAGCAGGCCTCCGTATCAACTGAACATGGCATAACAGTTACAAACCCTCAGATCAGAGCTGGGTGAGGAAACCCAGTAGGAGGAAAAGGGTCCCAGGCAAAAGAGTTAGAGACACCCCCTACTCCCACTGTTAGGAGTCCAACAAGAACATCAACCTACTACACAACCATAACATAGATGCAGAGGACCTAGGTCAGACTCATATAGGCTCCATGATTGCTGCTTCAGTCTCTGTGAGCCCCTATGAGCCCTGCTTAGTTGATTCTTTAGATCATGTTCTCATGGTGTCCTTGACCCCTCTGGTTCCTACAATCCTGCTTTCCCCTCTTCTGTGGGGTTCTCAGAGCTGTTTGACTGTGGGCCTCTGTATCTGTGCCCATCAGCTGCTGGAGGAAGCCTCTCTGATGATGATTGGGCTAGGCTTCCATCTATGATTATAGGAGAATATCATTAGGAATCATTTCATTAGCTTTTTCTCCAGTCATGTTTGGTTCTAGCCTAGGTCTCTGGGCTATCCTAGGTCTCTGGGCTATCCAGCCTCTGGTCCTTGGCCAGTGATAGGCATGGGCTTCCTCCCTTGTCATGGGCCTCAACTTGGACCAGTCATTGGTTGACCACTCCCACAAGTTCTGAGCTACCATTACCCCAAGCACATCTTGCAGGCAGGATAAATTGTAAGTCAAAGGTTTTATGGCTGTGTTAATGTTTCAGTCCCACCACTGGAAGCTTTGCCTGGTTAAAGAAGATGGCCAGTTCATGTAGCTAGAAGTTTCCCTGTGTTTTGGCCAGCAAGCATTTAGGACAAATCTCTCCTACTTGTGTTCCCCAAGTAAACACGCAGAGGCTTATATTAATTATAACTGCTTGGCCACTAGCTCAGGCTTATTACTGACTAGCTCATATACTTAAATTAACCCATAATTCTTATCTACGTTTAGCCACATGGCTTGGTACCTTTTCTCAGTTTTGCCTTGTCACCTTGTTTCCTCTATGTCTGGCTGGCAATTCCTGACTCAGCCTTCCTCTTCCCAGAATTCTCCCTGTCTGCTTATCCTGCCTATACTTCCAGCCTGGCTACTGGCCAATCAGCATTTTCTTTATCAACCAATCAGAGCAACACATATTAACAGCATACAGAACATCCCACAGCAAGTTTAGGCTTTGTATCCTCCATTACTAGGAGTCTTTGCTAGGGTCACCCTCATAGATTCCAGGAAGTTTCCACTGCACTAGGTTTCCACATTGCCCTCGAAATATCCCTCTTTCCAATCAACTCTTCCTCCATTCCCCCACCACTACCCAACCCCTCCTGTTCTCATCCTCACATGCCTCCAGCATACACACAAAATCTATTCTATTTGCCCTTCCCAGGGAGATCCTTGCATCCCCTTAGAGCCTTCCTTGTTACTTAGCCTTTCTAGGTCTGTGAATTATAACATGATTATCATTGACTTAACAGCTAATATCCACTTATAAGTGAGTACATATCATGTTTGCCTTTCTGAGTCTGAATTACCTAACTCAATGATTTTTTTTCTAGTTTCATCCATTTGCATGCAAAGTTCATGATGTCACTTTTTTAACAGCTGAGTAATACTCCATTAATAATTAATCCTACTTGAAGACAGGAGACAACCTGAAAAATGACCTCAGAGACTTGTATGCCAGACCCCATGTGCTTGATTGAGAATGTGAAAGGACAACTGAGGCCTAATCAGAAGGCTTTGGAGACCCTGTCTGCCATCACACAGCCTGTGGTAGTGGTGGCCATTGTGGGTCTCTACCGCACTGGCAAATCCTACCTGATGAACAAGCTAGCTGGGAAGAACACAGGTGAGTGCCACCAACAAAGCTGGGCTGGGTCCCCTTTGTCCACTCACATCATCAGCTTCCAGCATGCAAGTGTGAAGAATTTAATATTTCAGCCACAGTTGAGTTGGTTGTTTATTTATTATTTGTCTTTGAGACAGGGTCTTGCTATGCTACTCAAGCTGTCTTTGAGCTCATGATTCTCTTGCCTTAGCCTTCAGAGTGCTGGGGCTATTGCCTATACACCATAACCATCAGCCCACAGTTTTCCTTTTAAAGACATAAATCATTCCTTTTCTAGATGAAAGCAGTAATAAAAATTACCAATTTATGTATTAATCAACTTTAACATGTTATTATGTTTCTATAACAACAAGTTTCCACTGGTGTCTATATTTAAAAAAGTTGCAATCCATATAGTTTGCTTTAGATTTTTTGTATTATTATAAAATATCTAACATAAAATTTACAACTATTGTCAAATATGCAGTTTTGTGACAGTAGGTAAATTTAAAATTTTGTGTATCCATCACCCCCATCTATCCCTAGAACTATCTCATTTTCCCCTAGAGAAATGAAATCCATCTGTAGCTCATCTCCTAGCATTATCTGACATTCTGTATTTCTAAATTTGACAGCAGTGGAAAAGTCACATAAGTGGACTCATGAGATTTATTTCTTTGTAACTTGCTTCTTTCACTTAACATGGTAGTGTCAAGACTTACCATTGCTAGAATATATACCTATTTTCCTTCTTTTTTAGAGTTCAATAATTGTATGTGTATAACAATTTTGTTATCTGTTCATCTGTACACAGAAACCATTGGGTGCTATTATTAATGCTAATATGAATATTGGTATAAAAATCTTTTTTAGTTCACGCAATTATTTTAGGTTGTATTCTGCTTGTTGCTGTGATCAAATACCCAAGTGAAGCAACTTTAGGAAGACGGGTTTACTCTGACTCACAGTTAAAGGTCTATCAGTTCATTATGGCAAGGAAGACTTGACACAGTATTTCCTTCCATGGTGGTGGAAGCTTATGGATTATTCATATTATACTTAGGCAACAAGAAGTACAAGACCCAAATTAGAGTCACTGTTAACCATCAAAGATCTTCTACTAGCCTACCTCTGCTAGCCAGTCTTCACCTTCCAAAGGTCTACATCTCCAAAAACTGGCACTACCCACTGGGGACCAAGTATTAAAACATATGAGCCTGAGGTGGATGGTTCACACACAAACCATAACATTCTGCCTCTCGGCCCTACTGGTTCATGGCCATCTCAGAATGCAAAATTTATTGGATTTAATCTCCAAAGCCCTCATAATCATAAAGTTCTAATAGCATATAAAATTCCAATGTCTCTTTTGAGGTTCAAGGTTTTAGCTGTGATCCTGTGGAAAATCAAAATACCAGTTACACACTTCCAATATATGACAGCATAGAATAAAAATTCCCATTCCAAAGATAAACAGTATAGTTGGAAAGACCATACCAAAACAACAATAAAGTCCAGACAAAGATCAAACCAAGCTCCGCACCCAGCAGCCAGAGCAGGTGGAGGCTCCCTGTAGGTTCCAAGGGGTTTTTAGTTTTGTTCCTAACCATATCCTCCATCTTAGACCAGCTACACTCAGTACCCCTAGCTTTTCTCAGTGGATACCACACAGTCCTGGCATGTCCTGCATCCTGGAGTATCCACTGCAACTTATATTTTACCTTCACAGCTTTATTCACAGCATTCTCAGGAATTCAACTTGTTTCTGCAATCTTGGTGCAAAACTGGATGAATGTGTGCCTTTTGCATGCTGAATGACTGGAAACTAATTACTTTTCTGCTGAAACTTTGGTTTTAGTTAGATGTCCTGGTCTTTAGTATGCTGATTTTATATCAATTTCTTGAAATACCTGATAGTAACTACATTCCTCTCCTTTTTCTTCTATGCTCTACAGGCTTCTCTCTGGGCTCCACAGTGCAGTCTCACACCAAAGGGATCTGGATGTGGTGTGTCCCTCATCCCCAGAAGGCAGGACACACCTTAGTTCTGCTTGACACTGAGGGCCTGGGAGATGTTGAGAAAGTAAGGATTGAGGGTTCAGTTTGCAATTCATCCTCTCATCTCTTATATTAGATAGCTTTTAATGCTATTTCATTTATATTTACCTAACATGTGTCTAAATTTAGCTACCAGAGTTGAGGAAAAATCTTACAAGGATCATTGAAGAGCAATGTGATTAGTAAACAGTGTTCGTGGGACTAACAACAGGCTAGCAGCATTAATCAGAATCATTATAAATAAAAATGCACATAAAATTGTCATTTTCTTTAGAAAATTGTATTTGAATTTGGATGCCTTGCATAGATCATAAATATCATATAGGTTTTTCTAATTCTTCTAGACACACTCTGTGTGATCATACTCTTGTTATAGTTGATCTGGAAAGTGGCATAAGAACAGAATATATTCCTGACCCATGTGTGTTCTGACTCTCAGGGTGACAACCAGAATGACTGCTGGATCTTTGCCCTGGCTATACTTCTAAGCAGCACCTTTGTGTACAACAGCATGGGAACCATCAACCAGCTGGCCATGGACCAGCTACAGTATCCTTTATGTAGCACAGAGCATAAATATACACACATACACACACATGAGAGAGAGAGAGAGAGAGAGAGAGAGGAGAGAGAGAGAGAGAGAGAGAGAGAGAAAGGAGGAGAGACTGAAAGACTGAGACTCTTCTGTTAACAGGACAGTGGCCTATGTATACTGTAGAGTTAAATTATATATATATGATGCAGAGGGGCATGATACATGTCATACACCTATCAACAGGTTGATAACTGGATCAGAGGAAGGCAATGCAAAGTGTGGTAATAGATGAATCTAATATGAGGATTTGGACCCTGGACCCTCTTCCTTAGCTTCTTAGATATGTGACAGAGCTGACAGATCGGATCAGAACAACATCCTCACCTCATAGCAATGGGGTTGAGGACTCAGCTGAGTTTGTGAGCTTCTTCCCTGATTTCGTATGGACTCTGAGGGATGTGACTGTAAGGCTTGAAGCAGATGGACAAAGCCTCACAGCAGATGAATACCTGGAGAATTCTCTGAAGCTCAAACAAGGTACCTAGACTGTTGTTGGAAAATGGGGAGGAGAGTAACAGAAACGTTTTTTGCAGGTGTTAGTATTCACTGTTTTATTTTCTAGACTATTTCTAAGAAGTAGTTTTTTTTTTTTTATCTGTCTCAATATGTCAATTTCAATGATAGCGTTCCCTGGCAATGGAGACATGTTCACTCTGCACTGTGATCAGATTGTTTAACATCACAAAAAAATGAAACAGAAGGAACATTTATTAGAAGACATCCATAAGTAACACATCAACACCCTATTAGCTGTGTGGCTATATTTCCTTTACTTTCTCCAGGTACCAGCAAAGAAGATAAAAATTACAACCTGCCCCGACTCTGTATTCGAAAGTTTTTCCCCAAGAAGAAATGCTTTGTCTTCTGTCCACCTACTGGGTGGAAGAAGCTTTCTGAGCTTGAGAACCTGCACGATGATGAGTTGGATTCTGATTTTGTGCAGCAGGCAGCTGAGTTCTGTTCCTTCATCCTCAGCTCTTCCAAGGCTAAAGCTCTCCCAGGAGGCATTGGGGTCACTGGAACTCGTGAGTGTCCTGCCCAGTCCTTCTTGATAGCTTTAGAGAGTACACTCCTTGCTGGTAAAGTAACACCCACTCACTTCAATTTTTGACAATTTTTGAAAATTCTAGATATCCTAAACTAATAACTTAAATTTGGGTTAAGAAAATTTAGTGTCTCTGAAAAGTTCCTATAGGTCAAAGTGAAGAGACTCTATCCATATCATTTCTCTACCAAAATGGACTTGCACTGTGCAATTTGGCATCCAAAGGCATATGACACTATTTAGTTTATGTGTAAGTTGATTTTATAGAGTACAGACTCAATGCACATGTCCATATTTTGAGAGCAAAATAGCTGTATAAGGCTAGGACCTAGTGATAATGGGAGTCACAGATACAAAACATTTAGTTTACCTTAAAGTTCTATGGACAATACTGAACTTGGCTAAATTGGAAGTGTGCATTTGTTATCAGGTTTCTGGTTAATATTCATGCTATTGAAGAGTGTATTGATTATTTGTGGACATGCTCAGAACTACAAAATATGAAGACTACTTTACTCTAAAACAAATATTATCACCTGTTTTCTAAATGTAGGACTAGAGAAACTGGTGCTCACATACATCAATGCCATCAGCAGTGGGGATCTCCCCTGCATGGAGAATGCAGTCCTGGCCTTGGCAAAAATAGAGAACTTAGCTGCACTGCAAAAGGCCATTACCCACTATGACCAGCAGATGAGCCAGAGGGTGCAGCTGCCCACAGAGACTCTTCAGGAGCTTCTGGATCAGCACAGGACCTGTGAGAGAGAGGCCATAGAAATCTTCCTCAGGACTTCCTTTAAAGACGAAGACCATTCATTTAAAAAGGAATTACTGGTAAATTTATGCCATGTTTAAATGGATAGGGATTGTGAAATTCAAAATACTATGAGGAAATATCAGGCATTTTTTTTGAGAGGCACTTGTTACCAGATAGTGACAGTCACCTTTTTAATAATCATTAAAAAGAACTTTCTTATTATGGACTCAAATTTTGAAGCTTTTGAAATATACAATATATATATATATATATATATATATATATACACATATATATAGTATATTTACAATCTTCATTCTAATTGCACACATATAAGAGATGATTGGAAACTCCAATTTGATAAGATGCCTTCTGACGTCATACTGATTTACTGTCAAACTAAACAAAATCAAAGAAACTTGACCAGGCAAATGTTGTATCACATATATTCCCTTTATGGTGATGATTGGTCTGTTTTGAGATAGAACTATTTCATTCATGTGTTGTAAAAGTAGTTGTGATTGTGCTAAACACCTTTTAGTTGGAGAAAGGGCTGCGTGAGAAAGTCGGGTTGAGGGAAGAGATGAGGCTCTGCCGTAAGAATGAAGAGTCTTCAAGAAGAACTGCCTCAAGTTCTGGTGTTGAACTAAAGTTTTCCTGTTACTCTTGTTTTGCTTCCTATTTTTGGATTAAAGGCTCAGCTAGAAAAGAAGTGGAAGGGCACCTGTCACGAGAACGTGAAACTATCATCGGACAGGTGCTCACAATTAGCTTCGGAACATCTTCAGCCCTCTAGAAGAAGCAGTGACAAAGGGTGCTTATTCTCAGCCAGGTGGATATTTTCTCTTTGTTGAGAAAAGAGAAGAGCTGAAGGAAAAGTACCTTAGGGAACCCAGGAAGGGGATACAGGTAATCAAGCTTTGTCTATTAACACTGAGAGGCTACTGGCATGCATGCTTGGAACACCAGTGTGTCCAGATGTGATTGCACATGGATCTGGGGTTTTGTAGGCATAGCACTCATTTTCTAAACCAGTAAAAAAGAAAAAACCGCCAAAGGAGTCCATTAATGACATCAGGTGTGTTCAAGTGCTCACCAAAGGCAGTGCATTCAATTAACAGGGATTATGAGGTAATCCACAGTAATAGCTAGACGTTCGATGTTACAGAGGACAGAGATGCAACTAGAAATGATATAAGTTTAGTCTCCAAGATAGCTTTAAGGGAAACAGGATCTGCCTTCAATTCTCTCCTTTCTTGCTCTGTTTCAATTCCTCTGTAGCTGAAAGTTTTCCTGTGCTCGCCCGGCACCAAGGACCCCACAGCCGCTTATAAAATAATCACTCAGAAGCTTACATTAATTAAAACTGCTTGGCCATTAGCTCAGGCTAACTACTGACTAGCTCTTCCACTTAAACTCAGCCCATTTCTGTTAATCTGTATGTTGCCACGTGTTCCATGGCTTTACCTGTGTGCCATTAAATTCTGCTCCCTGGACGGTGGGCTGGTGTCTCCTGACTCAGCCTTCCTCTTCTCAGAATTCTCCTCATCCCCTTATCCCACCTATACTTCCTGCCTGGCTACTGGCCAATCAGTGTTTTATTTATCAACCAATCAGAGTCACATATATTCACAGCATACAGAAAGATATTCACAGCATTTTTCTAATTTGCTTTTCCCATCAAGGCATCATTCTTGAGCATCTTCAGCCCACATGGAGCCATAGTTCTAGAATTACCAATAATGAAAATGGCTGTCCATTTGAAGGGCCCAACTTTCTTTGTTTTAATGTCCCTATTAACTTCTTACAAGACTCTTTCTAGAAGGTCTCACAATTGCCTTTGTGGCAGCATGTGACAGGGAGACTTGAGCTCCAGCACTACCTAATACAAGAAGCATAGCTCCTTGATGAAAAGATGGCAGGGACAGACAGAAACAAACACTTGCACCACTTCCTTCTGTTAACCTGTGTTCTTGGGACTCCAAGGCTGAAGAGATTCTGCAGGCATACCTGAAGTCCAACATGGTTATGGCTGAGACAATTCTGCAGAGAGACCAGGCTCTCACAGTAAAGCAAAAGGAGATTGAAGGTGAGAACTGGCCCAAGAAAATGACTCTAATATCTCTTAAAAGTTTCAACACTCTCCACTAAATCTGTTGTCATTAGACAAGAGCACAAAGAGCAAGATTGTCTTGGCTTCTGAAGTCATTGCTGAGTTTGACAAATGCACTCATCAACATTACGTTTACCTCAAAGAATGTGGTTTCCTCTATAAAGTCACACAGCTTGCTCTTCAGAAGTGGAGAACAAGGAAAGATTTAATGAAGAGGGACTTACTTTACTTCCCTTTTTCTCCTCAGCGGAACAGGCAAAAGCTAAGTCTGCACAGGCTACTGTCAAGATTTTGGAGGAAATGGAAGAGAAGCACGTGCAGATGATGAAGGAGAAAGAAAGATGTCATCAGGAACGAGTGAGGCAGTTGACTGAGAAGATGGAGCAGGAAAGAGCTCAGATAGTGGAGGAGCAAGGGAGGATTCTGGCCCTGAAGCTGCAGGTATTCAGTTGTGTTATGTCAGCGTCATCATCCACTGTCCTCAATCAAAAGCACAGCATAGGGCTAAATATCACAAGATTCTTAATGCAATTCATTTCATTAAGCCTTGCAGAAACCCATCCTGCCTAGACCATTAAAACATCTAAGACCTTGAATTCTACAGGGCCATTTATCTGAGGGAGTCAAGGCAGTCTTGTCATGCCTTGATAGTGACAATGGTGGCTTTCCTTGTCTGTTGTAGTACCAAGGGCAGGTTTGGGTTGATCTTTCTTTCTTTTTCCTTAATTAACATTTTTCCATTATTTTACATACCAGCCACAGTTTCTGCTTCCCTCTCCTCCCGTTCCCTCCCCACAACTCCCATCTACCCTGCTTCCCATCCATCCACTCCTCTGTGTCCATTCCGAAAGGGGCAGGCTTCCCATGAGCTTGAACATAGCATAGCACATCAAGTTGAGATAGAACTGAGCTCCTCCCTCTGTATCGAGGCTGCACAAGATAATCCAGCACAGGGAACAGGTTCCCAACAGCCAGCTAAGCACCAGGGACAGGTCCTGATCTCACTGCTAGGAGCCTTACAAATAGACCAAGCTACACAACTGTCACACACATGCAGAGGGCCTAGATCAGTCCCATGCAGGATCCCTAACTGTTGGTCCAAAGTCCATGTGCTCCCACGAGCTCAGGTTAGCTGTCTGTGTGGGTTCCTCCATCATGACCTTGATCCCCCTGACTGGCACTATCCATCCTCCCTTTCTTCAGGAGGACTCCCAGAGCTCAGCCCAGTGGTTGATTGTGGATTGTGGATCTGCTTTCATCAGTTACTGGATAAAGGCTCTGTGATGACAATTAGGATAGTCACCAATCTGATTACAGGAGATGGCCGGTTCAGGCACCCTCTCCACTATTGCTAGGGGTCTTAGCTGGGGTCATCCTTGTGGATTCCTAGGAGTTTATCTGGCACCAGGTTTCTCCCTAGCCCTTTGTCCTGCCCCCAAACTGCCTCCTGCACCCAGCCCACCCAACCTGCTCCCTCAAATTCCCACCCTCCTTCTTCCCCACCCATACCTCCTGTGTACACAGAAGATCTTTTCTATTTCCCCTTTCCAGGAAAATCTATACATCCCTCGTTGGGTCCTCTTTGTTATCTAGCCTCTCTGGGGCTGTGGATTATAGGTTGGTTATCCTACACTTTACTACTAATAGTCACTTATGAGTAAGTACATACCATGTTTGTCTTTCTGGGTCTGGGTTACCTCACTCAGAATTATTTTTTTAGTTCCATCCATTTGCCTGCAAATTTCATGTGGTCATTATTTTTTACAGATGAGTAATACTCCATTGCATAAATGTACCACATTTTCCATATCCGTTCTTTGGTTGAGGGGCATCTAGGTTGTTTCTGGGTTCTGGCTACTATGAATAATGCTGCTATGAACATAGTTGAGCAAGAGTCCTTGTGGTATGATTGTGCACACTTTGGGTATATGCCCAAGATTAGTATAACTAGATCTTGAGGTAGATTGATTCCCATTTTTTTCTGAGAAACCGCCATATTGATTTCCAACATGGCTATACCAGTTTGCACTCCCACCAGCAATGGAGGAGTGTTCCCTTTACTCCACATCCTCTTCAACATAAACTGTCATCAGTGTTTTTGATCTTAGCCATTCTGACAGGTGTAAGATGGTATCTCAGAGTCTTTTTGATTTGCATTTCCCTGATGTTGAACAATTCCTTAAATATCTTTTGGCCATTTGAGATTCTTCTGTTGAGAATTCTCTGTTTAGATCTCTAGTCCATTTTTTATTTGAGTTGTTTGGTATTTTGATGTCTAGTTTCTTGAGTTCTTCATACTTTTTGAAGATCAGCCCTCTGTCAGATGTGGGATTGGTGAAGATCTTTTCCTATTCTGTAGGTTGCTGTTTTGTCTTATTTACTCTGTCCTTTGCCTTACAGAAGCTTTTCACTTTCAGGAGGTCCCATTTATTAATTGTCAATCTCAGTGTCTGTGTTGCTGGTGTTGTATTCATGAAGCAGTCTCCTGTGCCGATGTTTTCAAGACTAGTGCTCACTTTCTTTTCTATCAGATTCAGTGTAATTGGATTTATGTTGAGGTCTTTGATCCATTTGGAGTTTTGTGCAGGGTAATAGATATCGATCTATTTGCAATCTTCTACATGCCCACCTCCCGTTATGCAAGCACTATTTTTTGAAGATGCTTTTATTTTTCCATTGTGTATTTTTGGCTTCTTTGTCCAAAATTGGGTGTTCACAGGTGTGTGGATTTATATCAGGGTCTTCAATTCAATTCTATTGATCTGCATGTCTGTTTTTGTGCCAATACCAAGCTGTTTTTATTACTATAGCTCTATAGTAGAGCTTGAAGTCAGGGATGGTGATACCTCCAGAAGTTCCTTTATTGTATAGGATTGTTTTAGCTACCCTGTTTTTTGTTTGTTTGTTTGTTTGTTTTTCCATATGAAGTTGAATATTGTTCTTTTGAGGTCTGTGAAGAATTGTGTCGAGATTTTGATAAGGACTGCATTGAATCTGTAGATTGCTTTTGATAAGATTGCCATCTTTACCATGTTAATCTTACCTATCCATGAACATGGGAGATCTTTCCATTTTCTCATGTCTTCTTCAATTTCTTTCTTCAAAGACTTAAAGTTCTTGTCATACAGGTATTTTACTTGTTTGGTTATAGTTAACCCTAGGATATTTTATATTATTTGTGGCTATTGTAAATGGTGTTGTATCTTGGGTTGACTTTTCTAATGTTAATGTTCCCTCAGGGAAAAGTAATCTCTGAATGGACTAATGCAGTCCTGCTCATTGTTATACTGGATTGTCAGTATTTAGGTCACCAATTTTATGAATGAGTTTGGCAACCCTAGGGCTCTGTCTGTCTGTCTGTCTGTCTCTCTCTTTCTCTCTCTCTCTCTCTTAAAGGGATCCCATAACTGGGAGATCTAGAGAAGACTCCAAGTTAACAATGGACCCAGCCTATCTCTGAAGGGGATGAAGAGGATAATGGATGATAAAAATGAACAGAATTCATTTACACATTTATGACATTGTTGAAGAATAACTATAGCAACAGAGAAAAAGTGTTGAAAGCTGATAGTGAAAAGAGATCTAGGCAGCTAGGAATATTCATCCATCTTGTTATTCTTGCAGCTTCATTACTCAATTTTCTTTTTAGGAACAGGAACGACTGCTCAAGGAAGGGTTGAAAGAAGAGAGTATAAGGCTTCAAAATGAGATTCAGGTTATGGAAAAGAAAAACAGAGAAAAAGGTACTTTGCTTACATGTTATTATAATCTATGAATTCAAAAATGGAGTTTTCTCCTCTACATTCTTGCCAGGGCACAAATTTAAGAGCAACTTCGGGGCATCAGATGATTGTCAGTAAATGAACTTCTGTTCTTAATGCTTGCATATCTCTTTTGCCATCAAGTTTATAAAGATGAAGCCCAGGTAGGGGTAAATGTGTTAGCCACTAGTCATACATGGTACTGACTAATGTAACCTTAACAGAATCCATTGTGAAAAGTCTATCATTAGTTGAGATGCACTTTCAATTATATAATCAAGATGCTATTTAAAAGAGGGATTTACCTGCCATAATCTGGATTACTTCCTTATTCCTACCATGCTTTTAGACATCTTCTATAACAACATTTTCTCAAGGGTTACCTGCACCTGGGGATGCATCTGGAGTGTTATGCATTATAGGATGAATCAGGTAAAACTGAGCAATGTCTTTGGGTGTAGTTCAGGATTGTGCCTGCTTTGTGACCAATGATCATAAGAAGGAAGTCCTCATCTTCCACAAGTTAGGACAGTAGTCTGGCTTTGATATGTAGACTGTACAATTTCTCAGCTGGATCAAGGCTATATGATATGTAGCCAGTGATCTATATCCCAGTGACCATTAGAAGAATGCTCACATTTGTACAATAGTAAATGTGTTAGTAGTTGAGGATTAGCATCTGATGTCTATAAAAGCCCTTTGGTTAACTACCACAGCCTTTCCTGTTGTTCCACATATAATCATTAAACTACAATGATCACACACACACACACACACACACACACACACACACACACACACACACACACACACTGGTGTTTATATAGCAGAGGTGTTCTGTTTTTCATGAAACCATTCATGAGTAAGGCATAAATGCAGTCAACAAAAGTGGGAATTTTCCAGTGAAAAATTAAGGTGACAGGATTTCCTCTATGTAATAGCAACAATAGCAGAAAGAAGGAGCTGGCACAGTAATGCTACATTAATTTTCTGATTAATTTTCCTTCTCAATAGTACATGAAGAAGCTGAATATGCTCAGTCTGCCATGAAAATGCTGGAGGATATGCACAAGATGGAACAGCACATAATGGCACAGAAAGGAAAAAGTCATCAGGAGCACATGAAGCAATTAACTGAGAAGAAAGAGGCTCTTGGATGTCAGGTAATCCATCCCACAATATTCACACAGAATAGGCAGAGAACATATAAAAATTAATAAAACATGCTCATTCCATATTTGGAAAGTGGGCTGGTTTGTTGTTTAATAATCTATGCAGTATCTCAAATGACATAGAAGGGTGATTATTGCATTACACCATTGTCTTAGGGTTTCTATTGCTATGATAAAACACCATGACCAGAAGCAGCTTGGAGAGAAAAGAATTATTTCTGCTTACAACACTCAGGTCATACTCCATTTTGGAGGAAAGTTAGGGCAGGATTTGAGTTAGGAACCTGGAGGTAGGAACTGAAGCAGAGACCATGGAAGAGTGCTGCTTACTGCCTTGCTCCATGGCTTCCTCGACCTGTTTTATATATAATATATATATACACACACATACTCCAGGACTACCTGTTCAGGGTGGTACCACTAATTAATCACTAATCAACAACTAATTAGGAAAATACTGTATAGGCTTACCCACAAGGTAATCATACGGAGGCATTTGCTCAATTGTGATTCCCTCTTCTCAGATAACTTGTCAACTTGTCAAGTTGACAAGACAAACAAGCAAACAAAAACAGGGTAGCAAACCAGCTGTAGAACTGTGCTGTTTTTTCACCAACACAGTGGCTGCACCTGAATCTACAGCTGTTTCAGTCATAATGGCAGCTCCGCAGTTACTGGACCACTTTTCAGGCAACAGCCTGGTTGAACTTTTACATCCTGCTGGATCCACCTCCTGCTGCTGCCACCAAATGTAGTTTTTAACTGAATATCTATCATTCTATTTACCAAAAAAGACTCGAGTCATAGGCTGGGGTGAAAACCATCTAACCCAGAGGTTAAGAAGCAATTAGCTGACCTACCCTCTTCACCAGCATCTCAGAAAGAGTGTCATTTCTATCACTCCAAATAGGATGGCCACACTCAAAGTCCCTCTCTACTACTTCCTGTGTGTCTCTCTAGATGTATTTTCTGGACTTCCTATGACTCTCTATGATTACTTTCTGTCAGCTAGTTGCTGGCTCTGCTTCCTGACACAAGGTTAGTTTTATTTAATTAACGTAAACACAAACTTGGGATTCACAGTGTTATCATATATCCCTCAACACAACTGGGCTTAGGTGACCTAGGAGTGGTGAGATGAGGAGATGTTCACTTGTGCCTGGAGAGGTCAATTTTGACTTATGGTCAAACTGCCCCTCTCAGGCTTCAGGAGTACTTTGCTGACTATACCATACACCTAAGGAGAGGTTGGAAACTATGGAAACACATGAGCTTTGCTTCATGCTGTCTTGGGCCACAGGGACAGACAAGGCCTACTGATGGTCTCTGCTTGTTTGTGCCATTAAACATTCCCTTACTGGAATGAAAACAATCAACAACTAATGGTGATAGACATGAAACCATCAGATCTTGATTATCCCTGTTGTGAGCTCTTTTCTGTCAGCCTAGAAACAAATGAAACACACATCTCTTTATTAAACTAAACTATGCTTTCTCTGAGCTCTATCACAGTCTGTTCTGTTCTATTTGTGAACTTCACTCATCTTTTTCCCCTTGTGCTGGAGACCAAGCACAGAGGCTTGGATGTAAATTATCTACCAAAAATAAACACCCAACCTCTTCCTCATTGTCTCTCATTCCCTAATACACAGTTGCTCTCCTGTAAGCCAATATGACTGCTGCCTTCATCAATGAACTGTTCATTTTGAAGTCACCGATTGACTTCAGTTTGCCTGTTCTCGGCAAGGCCTATCATGGGTACACATCTCAGTCAACTCTGGATACTATCACAGAACACTATAGACTGGGTAGAGAAAAAATGTACTTCATGTACCCAGGATGAGTGAGTAGTCCAAGAACAATGTCTCATCAAAGTCAGTGTCCGGTTAGGGCACCCTTTTTGGTTCACAGGCTGCAGTGTTCTTTCTGTCTTCACATGGTAGACTCAGAAAGCCCTGCTCTCTTCCTTTTCTTACAAGGATATTGATCATGGGAACTCCTCCTGTTTAATGTCATCTAAGTCTGATGATCTGTGAAGGGCTCCCATGTACACTGAGTACTAGGGATTCAATATACAAATTGGGGAAGGTATAAACATTCAGACCATAGTTCTCTACAATTATCATTTCAGTATCAAACATTGCTTCTCACATTTTATGATTGTTTTTATACACACGTATACATCCACAAGAATGGACTCTAATGGAAGAAGATTGATAATACACAAAATAAGCTCACAAATGTAAAATTAATTTTGTAGTTATACATAATGTATGTGTATTTACACACATACACATATGTATGAAATATCACTATTATCCCAGGAAGATCTACATGACACAGGACAAGAATTTATCTCTGTTTTGTTAATAACTAGATTCTGAACACTTTGAACTGTGCCCAGCATATAACAGTTCTTTTTTCTCTCTTCCTCCCTTCCGCTTTCTCTCTTCTTCCTTCCTTCTTCCACCACCCCTTTCTTCACCCCACCTCTCTCAGAATGGAACAGGGCAGACTTTATGGTGTATAGAGATAAGATGGAACTAATTTGACTCTTAACAAAACTAGACATTGAGCAAATATAGGCTTAAATTGATGTGAAGTTCAAGAGTCAGATCATCCTACAAAGTTACGCACGACAGTGAGACTGGCCCATGAACTGGAGGAACTGTCTATCACCAGCTCCAGCTCCAGTGTGTTGGTGCTTTTCAGTAACATTGACTGAATCACCCAGACAAGCAACTTTGGATCATTCTAAATGTCCCCATCATATTTTAATCTTGTCAGCTGTTTAATATGCTATTTCCTGTCAGTTTAAATTCTCTACCATCTCTATTCAGTGTTATTCTATTTGTCTCTCAATATCTCTTCTATACTCTTTCTTAATTCATGTGTGTGTGTGTGTGTGTGTGTGTGTGTGTGTGTGTGTGTGTGATATGCACATGTGTGTATTTGTGAGTGCATACATATGCAGAGACCAGAGGAAGATTATGATGTTCTCTTCATCAGTCTCTGCCTTATTACCATGAGAGAGGGCTTCTCACAGAAATTGGAATTAGTCTGGCAGCTATCAAGCATCAGCATCCTCCTGTCTCAACCCCACACAGTTCTAAGTCTAGTGCTTTCTTAGTGGATTCTGGGATTCTCAGCTACACATACTTGCACAGCAAATCCTCTCACTCCCTGAGTCATCTCATCCATGTTTAATTAATTTTCCTTCAACTCATACTTGATCACTTTCCTTTTTACTCCTTATATATTCATAATAAGTATATATCTGGTAGCATTTATTTATGCATATGTGAAAATGGCATATTGTCTGTTTTTTACTATATACCATGAGACATTCATGGTTAATTTGTCACAAATTGATGTTCATTTTCTTGTACCACTTTTTCTTTCTTTTACTGTTTATCTATATTTCTTTTAATGCCTATCTTATCATTTTGGAAGAGAGGCTGTCAATGAGACCTAATTGTTACAAATGAGGTATGAATAGAAATATGCATGAAAATTCACCCATGATATGTTCTTAATGAGAGGAGACCTAGACTCTTTCCTTTTCCCTTTATTTACTGGATGGAATGTGTATGATGAGGACTAATTGTGAACCATGAGGTATGAAAAAAGAGAGCTAACTGCTGACTCCACATGGGAGACCTTGATTTGGGGGATGTGGGGTGGCTTGGGAGGGAAGGTTGGGATGGGAGGAGGGAGGAGATGGGATCTGTGGGTGGTATGTAGAGTAAGTAGGAAATTTCTTAATAAAGAAAAATGAAAAAAATCTAAAAAAAGAAAAAAATTAAAAAAGAAAAGAAAAAAAGAGAGCTAAGCAGAAATAGAATAGTAAGACACCCATTTGTGAAACAGATCCAAGCATTCTTTGTCTTGAGCCCCTGAAAAGGCAAATGAACTATCAAATGCTTAAACCACAGTGTTCTGGAGGCAGTTCTGCTGACTACCAGTGAGCCAGATCCTAGTTGGTAAACATCCCAAGACACTTTTGAGTTCTACATTGACCATGGCATTATGATCACCAAGTATGTAATGAATAAGCCAATCATGGTATTAAATAAGAGTAGATGGGGTTGGCTGATGTGTCTCTCACATGATGTATAGTGAGCCAAACTTCCCTTCCCCAAGCCTCACATGTACTATAGGCAGCCTGTTCATTCTGCAGGCATTTCAGGGTTTACAATATGACTTCAGGGAAACAGTTCCTTTGCAGATCAGAGCACATACTGAAAACACATACATGACTGGCAATAAAGAACCCTAGTAGCTTCTCTGTCAACAACATTGTCACATGAAATTGTTAAGAAGAAAGGAGATTTGGGCAGGTAACTTTTCATAGAGGATAAATGTGGTAAAAAAAAAACCAATTATTCTTTAAATCAGACTTGTCCATGGATAGACTAAGGTCTCTGCCAAATCATTTAGCCTTATCCTCTGCTGCTTTTACCCATCTACAATAAAGAGATAATTTAAAAAGTCATCTTTAGGCTCCTTCTCAGGATCAGTAAGATAATGAACACAAGATATCTGTACCAGGTATTTCCATACAGATGTATTTATTAACAAGAATATAGAAAATGGGTCATTAAATACTTGGACATGGACTAGAGTTTTGGTTGCATGGAGCTCTGGACTCATGTGGTACTCAGGTGCTGTGATATGTTTGAACATTTATAACTAATTAAGTCTTTCAAAATGTTGTCATCTTGGATTTTTGAGGTAAGCTTTTTAATCCAGTAACAAGTGTCTGTATCAGAAAGAGGCAGAGAGAGAGAGAGAGAGAGGGAGAGAGAGAGAGAGAGAGAGAGAGAGAGAGAGAGAGAGAGAGAGAGAGATTTAACACAGAAAAGAATAAAACAGAGAAGTAGAGATGGTAATGTCAAGCAAAAGAAAGAGATATGGCAAAACCTGAAGCAGAAGAGACTCCAAAACTGTGAAGAAGCAAGGAATAGTGTTACCTTAATTGCTGGGAGGAAGACCACTTCTTCTAGATGATTTTGGACCTCTGGCATCCAAGATATGAGAAAGTAATTTTCTGTATTTCAAGCCACTTGATTTGGCATTTTGTTGAGGTAGACTTAGAAATTACTAAGATTTAGCCACTGAAATATGGCATGGTGCCATAACAAATACTTAGATTCATGGAAATAATTAGAGGTTAATTGTAAGAGGTACAGTAGAAAAGTTCTAGATTGATTTAAAAGGAATGTTGGTGAAAATGTGGGCAACTAATTTTCTGGTGAGGGCTCAGAAGGAAGTGAGGAGAATGTCACAGAAAGCACCTGCCATTCTAAGGAATGATATTACCATTAATAATATAGTGATGGGAAAATGAATGTAAAAGAGACTTTTGTTAAGGCACAGGAGAAAGTGAGGAGCGTGTGATTAGAAGTTGGCAAAAGAATCTTTTTATGCAGTGGTAGAAAACTTGGCTAAATTAATTAACATTTGTGCAGGAAAAGACATGCTTGTAAAGATGAATTGTAGCCCGTGTGATTTGAAGGGGAAGTATGGTTTCTCCTTGTTGCTTAGAGAAAATGTGTTAGGGAAGAAATTAAATAGGAACCAGCAGGAGACTTTTGACCTGTCCATGCAGATTCCAAATGATGCCACAGTTAAGAAATTCCTCTTGGGAAGGGGACTATGCAAAGAAAGTCGAGTGTGTGGATGCAGGAATTTTTGTTGCAAGTTGGGCATGTGATACATGGGTCCTCTCAGTACTTCTGCACAAGACAGAGGTGAAGGTGGGATGGATATTCATGAAGAATCAGTAGTGCACCATTTTCTGTTACTGTACAGAACCCTAGTGTGTACATAGAAGACTCATGGGGGCTCTCAAAATGTTGAATCAACAGCAATCTAGATGATGGTTTAGATAGATTTATATTTAGAATTTGTACATTCATGTTTATGTTTAGAAATGGAGCTAATGCCACATTAGTTATGGACTTTTACAGAAGTTAGAATGCAATGGATACACTTTGCATTTGAGGCAAATGTGAATCTCACAGGTCCAGAAGGCATTCTACAGAAATTCTGCTACTTCAATTCAGCAAGTCTAAAACAAGGTCATAGGATTACCCATTCCAACACAGGCTACTCCTCAAGAAAGAAAACAATGATTACCTTTCAGTCTTTCAAATATGTGTCCATGTCCTAGCCACCAGAACCAGGTTCCCCTGAATGTCACCTTCTGATTTGTTTTTTAAGATGGCATAATTAAGTTATAGGTCTTAAAATGAGACCATGTTGGTTTTCTTTCTGGTGGGCACCTTGTCTAATTGACTAATAATATACATTAAAGAGAAAGGCAGAGGGAAATTTGAAAAAGACAGAAGTCAAAGAAAGAGAATACAAAATATCAATGAAATGACAAATGCCATAAGAAGCTGAGTCGGCTGGCACTCAGAGACAAGTGTTCACCCCCAAATCCCCATAGAGCACACAGCCCTGCCCACTTACCAAACATTCAGGTGTTTGACCCAAGTATGAGACAAGAAAATACTGTCATGGTTTTAATGTACAGTTTGTGCCATTATAATTTGATAGAGGCCCAGGAAACTAGTCCAGCTACACAAGCAGTAACCTCTGATGACCATGCCTTGAATAAACACCATTTGAAATACCTTCAGGATGCAGTATTGTACTGACAGCCTTTTTGGTTTGACAGGTTTTCGTGGCATCAGAAACGATGAAGGCCCCCATGTGTCTGGTGGAAAATAAGAACAAGCAGCTGTCAGTGAATCCAGGTGCCATCCAGATTCTTAACAGTATTTCTCAACCTGTTGTGGTGGTGGGCATTGTGGGAATGTACCGCACAGGAAAATCATACCTGATGAACTGCCTGGCTGGACAGAACCATGGTGAGTGTTGTCATGGACAGAGGCCAATTGCTTGAATTCCTTATAGCTTAGGTTCTTATTTGTGATAGAGTTACATATGGGAAAGCCAGTCTACCCGAAGAAGAAAAGTAAATCTTGACCTTCAGTTAATTATAGGCATCCGTTCCTTTTCTTGTTTAACTTCTGTTAATGGAATAACTCATGCTGCTTCTCAGGATCCAATTAATTTGTTTTAACCTTCACTTACTCAACAGTTGTAGTTATGTCTCCTCTTTTTAAAAAAAATGTTTTGTTTTCTGTGTGGAATGTGTTCATCCCAGTAAGGTGACTTTGTTATTTAATGTGTAATAATCCTTCTGGGCTCCACATTCCACCATGAGTACCCCATACCTCATTTACCAATTTTTTAAGGTAATGTGCAATCTCTGTATGTTTCTAGTCACCAGTCTTCTATTTTATTTAAAAATTTAATTTAAACATTTATGTTGCTAGAGTTTTCCTGCCTGGCCCACAGTCAGGACAAATCTCTCTCACCTGCCAGTCCCACAGACGCTCAGACCCGACCAAGTAAACACAGAGACTTATATTGGTTACAAACTGTATGGCTGTGGCAGGCTTCTTGCTAACTGTTCTTACAGCTTAAATTAATCCATTTCCATTAATCTATACCTTGCCACGTGGCTTGTGGCTTACCGGTACTTTACATCTTCCTTATCCTGATGGCGGCTGGCAGTGTCTCTCTGACTCAGCCTTCCACTTCCCAGCTTTATTCTCCTCCTTGTCCCGCCTACACTTCCTGCCTAGCCAATGGCCAATCAGTGTTTTATTTATTGACTAATCAGCAACACATTTGTCATACAGAACATCCCACAGCACGTTTATTTATATGTACATTTCTTTTTTGAGTCTAGTTTCAGGTATCCCAGGCTAGCCTTGAACTCACTGTATAACTGGAGATGATGTTGAATTAATCTTCCTGTCTCCATTCAGGCTTTAAAGAACAAGAATGTTCAGATTCATTCTTGTCATCAGCAGCCTTCACTTCACTTAGCTCAGAAGATGCTCTTTCATTTCCATCTTGGACCCTTACTTAGCATTGTCCACATAGCTAATTTCTTCTTGCTTCTTGAAATAGATCGTAAATGAAGTCAGTTGCTTATGATGAAGTGGAGACATGGAGACACCACCATTTTATTTTCTGGGATGCTCTGCCATGCTGAAATGAAACAGTTCCTTAGCTGCCTGATCTATCTGCTTGTATATATATATATATATATATATATATATATATATATATATATATATATATATATATATATATATCAGGAATGTATATCAGAAAAATATATTTATATTTTCCTCTTCCCTTCAGGCTTCCCTCTGGGCTCCACAGTACAGTCTCAAACCAAGGGCATCTGGATGTGGTGTGTGCCCCACCCCACCAAACCAAATCACACCCTCATCCTTCTAGACACTGAGGGTCTTGGGGATGTAGAAAAGGTGAGTCAGAAAGAGAGTGACAGATGAAGTTACTATTGATTTCTCCTTGTGTTTTAATAATCTCCTGCAATTCAACATATGGAATGTAGTCTGTCTAGAAACAAAACCATAGAAGATGACTTGAACTTGATGCTTTTAGCCACATTTCTCAGGAAAAACAAACACCAAATATTGCATACTGTTAGATAAAGCATGTATTTCTTTTCAAAGAAGTGAATAATTAGACTGCATTGAACCCATCGTCTTTCAGTGGCTCAGTCCTTTGGAATTAGCTCTGGAGACACTGGTGAGAAGGGGAAAGGTTCTGCCCTAATGCAGGTCTCATAACCATGTGTATCCAATGACCTTAATCTGCTGCTATTGATGCATCAGTATTTAAACAAGGTAGGCTCCCATGAGAGCAGAGATGGGGTGCTTTATTGGCATAAGCCCCTTGATGAAAACCTGTGGAATATAGAGAGGAAGGAGTAAGGTAGAGGGAAATGGGCACATTCCCCAAACTTACTCTATTCCATGGAAGACGTGTTTCAAAAATGATTCCTCTGCCCTGAACTGAAACAACAATTCATAATTGGAAGTTTGCCGTGGAGACATTTCTCATCATCAGGCTAACACCTCAAGGTGTTACTCATCACTACTCACCAGGACTTGCATGTTAGTTCTCCTTAGAACTTTGCCATTCAGCATGTTATGAGCTTCATCACAAGCTGGTAGGTGTAAAGCTGACCTAAGAGGGAAGCAGAGAGGCAATGATCCATCTCACAAGTTAAGGAAAGACTTGAGAGCTACCTTCTGAGGTACCAGGTGAAGAGTGCACTTGGAAGTTAGCATTTAGTTTTGATGGCATTTATTTATCTTCTATACACAGAACATTCAGCAAGGCTGTGAAACTCCACTCCCAGGATTTCTATAAAGCCAAACATTTTTAGATGAATTTTCAGATATTTTATATTATAAAATAGATTAGGCAAACGATATTCTTGTTTTTCTTTTTTCTTTTACTTTGAAACTGACTTGTAAAGAAGACATTTTTCTATAAGTCTTTATATCTTTCAAAATGGAGTTAGAGAGTCTATTTTCCTTAGAACCAGACACCAAAGTTATATTCCCAGTATTTAAGGATTTTATTCTTTAGCACAGTTCATACTATTGATTTTCCTAACTAGTTACTTTTAAATTTTGCTATATGGACTTTTTTCACCAAAAAGTCCATGGAGAATCTCCTACCAGTCAATTTTAGTTTTGCATTTACTTAAGGACTCTGGACTAAACTTTATAAACCATTCAGAGAAAGTATAATTTCTGTATTATGCTATAATTTAGACAGTAGTATAATTTATATAAGAAAAATTGCCTGACTTTTAAGGTCCTTTGTCATCTTGTGTCAGAATTCAATCCAACCTTTTACCCCCTCCAGTAGCAAACAAAGTAACTTTATGCTGATTGGAAGGATTTCTACAGTACTGTATCTTTGATGGTGCTTCTGCTGACTTCTACCTTCATGTTAGCATCAGTCCATCATGTCCTTATTCCACCAAGTCCTTAACACATAGCAGTAGGCTCCCAGAACATCTTAGCAAGTACTATTTTTCCAACTGTCTAAATTAATGTTTTTCCTTAAGACATATTCAATTTTATCTATGAAGGTCTTACAATCCTCTTATCTATAATTAATAGGAAAGCTCAAGTTTGTTGAATTCGTCTTATAAATTTACCGTTGCCATTACTTTCAATGATTTGTCCATGAAGTATACAGACAGTATGAAACATTTAGTTGTCATAGATAGCTGCATGTTGGTTTTAATTGGGTATAAGTCAAGTTCTCAGGTGTGTCAAGGGTACAAGGCTCAAATGTATTCTGAAAGAATAAGTGCTAGTACCTACCACTGAACATCTAATTTTACTCCCGATACCATGTTGGGTTTTTCTATAGGCACTATGTTACTCCATCTCATTGTTTAAAAAAGAAAGAAAAGGAAAATACTGTAAAGAAAATACCACTCAAGTTCTATTATCAAGAAAAAATTCCCAAAGCAATAGTTAAAGCTGAAATGTGTTCTCATGTCCTTAGAGCTTGTTCCTCTGTAGAAATAATAGAGTAGTTGAAATAATAATAGAGTAGATGAAAGCTCAAGAGAACAAAGATTGGATGAGCTTTAAATGAGAGTTAAGAAAAGAATTAGCTCCAAAGACCGTTGCCGGTGTGCCTTCTAGGGTGACCCTAGGAATGATGCCTGGATCTTTGCACTGGCTGTTCTTCTGAGCAGCACTTTTGTCTACAACAGCATGAGCACCATCAACAACGATGCCCTGGAGAAATTGCAGTATCCTTCAAAGAGTCAAGGTTTTAGTTTCTTTTGAAGAGCTTTTGGGAATGAGACTCAGGTATGGCTGAGTTGCTTGCTAGTGGTCGATCAGATGGGATACAAAATAAAACAAAGTGTTTATACCTACTTTTTAAATGAAGCAATTGTGTAGATTGTGATTTTGAGTTTCTTTTCCTTAATTGAGTCCTGGTTATGTGACAAAACTCACAGAGCTCATTAGAGCGAAGTCCTCCCAAAGATCTGATGCAATAGAAGATGCTAGAGAGTTTGTGAGTTTCTTTCCAGACTTTATCTGGACTGTACGGGACTTCACCCTGGAGCTGAAGTTAGATGGTCACTGCATTACGGAAGATGAATACCTGGAGACTGCTTTGAAGCTGATTCCAGGTATCAGAGCTTGAACTGGATACAGGGTATCTTAGTAAGGGGTGGGATCCACTGAGTACTGCCCATCATGTCTGGAGTAACATTGGCTTTTGAAGCTAGACTGAAGTCCATAGAAGTGGGACCTGGGAGTTGGGTGGAAATGCTTAAGGTCAGAAATTCAAACTCACCCAAGAAGGACAGAGCCCAATACCAAGCAAGGATACTTGAAGTCAAGTTGTGCTATACCCAAGATGTACCTTAGACGCAAACGAGAAAAAAAAATGGGAAAGTTTTGAAGACTGAGCACTTCTATTAGCTACGTTGGCTTCTGCTTTTGTTTGCTGAAAGCAATGAAATGCTTATTTGATAGACACAAAATCTCAGGAAAAAGCTGCCTATTTCACATATTAAGTCTAATTTTTTTCAAAGTATAAATACAACTTTCTAAAACTGGTACTGGTATATTGTCCATAAAATTGTTTATTTTTTATGAAGAAAGCTATCTCCTCAAACAATGGCGAGGAATGTATTGGGCTGCTGTTCCCTTGATTGTGATATGGCCATTGAAATCATACATACAGTAGCATATGTGACTGCATGCATGGGGCCTAAAGGAAAAAAGAAAGAAAGGAAAAATGTGACATGAGAGTGGGGGAGGCGTTAACCTGGAAGGGGAAAGGAGTTGGTGGGAGGGGTGAGAGGGAAGTAGTGTGTGAATATCATCTTATAGTCTTGTATATGATACCTTCAAAAATAAAGATACTCATGTCCAGGAGTACATGGCCAACACAAAATGAATTCATTAGTATTTTTGAAGGGCTTTTTTTTCCCTTTGGTCTCACTATGCTTTGTCTGGGCACTTTTTTTAACCTTACAGATCATTTGCTTTTATATATTATGGTTCCCAGTTTTTTTTGTGTGCGTGTTGGTTTTCTGTGTGCAAAGGTGTGTGTGTGTGTGTGTGTGTGTGTGTGTGTGTGTGTGTGTGTGTGTGTCTTGGTGTCTGTATGTGTTTCTTGTGCTTTTCCTCAGAATCCTTTTTTTTCCTATTTGCTTCTTTAGCTTGTCCTGTTGTGGGGTTTTTTTGGGGGGGGGTTTGAGACAGAGTTTCTCTTTGTGTAGTTCTGGCTGTCCTAGAACTCATTTCATAGACCAGGCTGGCCTCGAGATCTGCCTGCCTCTTCCTTCTGAGTGCTGGGATTAAAGGTGTGTGCCACCACCACCCAGATCTAGTTTATTTTTTATTTTATCTTATTATTACTATTACTAAGTGTCTGTTTCCTAATGAGGGGTAAAAGGAAGGGTATGGATTTGTGTGGGTGGGGAAAGGCAGAGTGTCTAGAAGCAGCTGTGGGATGAGAAACTATAAGCAGAATATACTGTATGAAAACAAATCTATTTCAATAAATTAATCAATAAAATAAAAATAATGTAAATCACTACCTGGGGGGATGTAGCTCAGTTGATAAAGTGCTTGTCTAAGGTGTGGAGCCCTAGGTTTGATGCCTAGTACCTCCTAATCTAGGTGTGCTAGCATACTACTATGGTCTCACATTCACCAGGTGAAGGCAGAAAAATCAAGGGTTCATGATCATCTTTGGCTATATAGCGAATCCTAGGCTAGCCTAGACTGGGATATTTAAATCCTTGTATAAAAAACAAAACCAAACAATCAAAAAACCTGGAAAGTAAAACTATGACTTTTTTTTTTAACCCATCAGATTTGTCCATGGAACTCTCTGTTTTTCTTCTTCCTCAGGGTATGATCCCCAAATCCAGACATCCAACTGGCCCAGGGAATGCATCAGACAATTCTTTCCTAGGCGGAAATGTTTTGTCTTTGACTGGCCAGTGAGTGATCCACAGTTCTTAGCCAAGATTGAGAATATACCAGAAAGCCAACTGAATCCTAAATTCCAGAAACAATCGAAGACTTTCTGTTCTCATATCTTCACCCATGCAAGTACCAAGAAACTCAAAGAGGGAATCCTGGTCACTGGGACTCGTGAGTCACTTTTGAAAGGTTTATGTTTTCTGTGGGTCAGGACAGGGTGAAGTCTGGATTCTTTGGTAGGATTATCAGTACTTTTATTTGATGTATTATAGAAATATGGGAATGGAGAAGTTTGTTTCATACATGGAAATCCTCATTTCTTTATTAACGTTTCTCTATATAGGAAAGAGAGAAATCTGTGTGGTGATGCCATATAAGAGGATAGTTTCTCAATAAAGACATAAAAACACAAGTTTTATGCTGGATGTTTTGGTACACAGCTGTCATCCCAGTTATATAGAATGCTGAGGAGGGGGATCCCTAACGACGTCAACCAAGGCAACTTAGCAAATTGTCTCCAGATAATAGACAAAAGAAGGCAGAGATGAGCTCAGTAGTCCAGCAAGTGCTTACAATGGGCACCGGAAAAAAAATTAACTAGCATGTCAATTATTCAAATTAAAAGTAGATATTAAACAGGGATATAGGCATAGCTCAATGGGAGGGCACTTGACCAACATGCAGATAAGGCATACAGCAAGCATGCCAAAGGTTTAAGGTTCAGAATCACAAAACATATTAATTAAAAATAGATAAATTAATAAATATAAAGCAGAGCTGTGGATATAGCTCAGTAGAAGAATGCTCACCTAGCCTTCATATAGGATTATAAGTTCAACCCCCAGCATCACAGTCTATCAGCCAACCAACAAAAGATTTTAGTTGGCTTACACGAGTCAGAAAAAGAAACAGAAGGCTATGAGTGCTATGCATGGTTAGTGAATGAGTGAGAAACAAATTTGAACTTAATCTTCTTTACAGAACTGACTTTGTGGTCATGGGACCTCTGCAGTAGCTCATGCTAAGATGGGTCCAAGCTTCATTAACATCTGTCTCATTGCCTTGAAACTCTTGACTTTTTTGGACAAAGGCTCTACATTTTCCTTTGGAAAGGGGCTCACAAATAAAAAATTTTTTTCCTATGTAACATACTTCATTTTCTACTTCATTTCTTTTGATGGGAAAGTGTTCTAGAAATCCTTTGAATATACTGCTTTAATCATTAATTTAATTTTACAGTGTGGTGAAGAACAATAAACCTAAATAAATAAGAAATACAGATGAGATTTTTACATGAAAATGGATTCATAGAAGCAGGATGAAGATAGGGACAAGGAGTAAAATAAAGGAAAAAAAGAGAACTTTATATTCAGTATGATGGGGCTTTTGAAGATGTTGGCCATCCCATCGTGTAAAATAGAGTGAAAATTTTCTAGCGTGACCTAAATACCATGTCTCTTTAGGATTAGGGACTCTTGTGGAGACCTATGTGGATGCCATCAACAGTGGGACAATTCCTTGCTTGGAGAATGCAGTAAAAACACTGGCGGAGCGTGAGAACTCAGCAGCTGTGCAGACGGCGGTTAACCACTACAATAAGCAGATGGCCCAGCGAGTGAGGCTCCCAACAGACACGCTCCAGGAGCTGCTGGATGTGCACACAGCCTGTGAGAAGGAAGCCATTGCTGTCTTCATGGAGCACTCCTTCTCAGATGACCAGTGGGAGTTCCAGAAGAAGCTTGTGGTGATATGCCTTAGCATTTGTTTCTGATGCCTGCCTTTCTGCCATAAGCCTCTACATTTTGATTCCATGTTGTATCTTTCCTATCATGAAGGAGCCAAGGTTCTTATGGGTAACAGAGTTCTTCACCACAATTACATCCTCTTCTCTATTAGGTGTTTTTAATTTTTAATAGTTCTTTAGAAAAATATGTGTACAGGTGTTTTGCCTATTGTACACTTGCATATTAATGGTATGCAGTGCCCATGAAGGAAGGCTGAAATGGTACATTGGATCTCCTGTATCTGGAATTACAGATGGTTGTGAGCTCTTCTGTGGATGCTAGGAATTGAAACTTCCTTCAGAAGAACAGTCATTGTTCTTGACTGCTGAGCCATTTCTCTAGCCCAACTTCATTTTTACTTCTATAGAATAGGTTGGTATGTGCTTAGTGTCTTTAAATATATATATTTATAAGTCACAGTTCTTCAAGTCAAGTGCAGCATTGGATATACGGGTCTCTGCTCAGTGCATCCTAATTTTAAATCAAGGTGTCAAGGAGACTTGGCTCTTGTCTAGAGGCTCTGAGAATCCCTTCTGTCTTCAGTGTGTCAATGGGGCATTCTGTCCTTTCCTCATTTCTCATCTCTGGTTTTCCTTGTCTATAATCAACTGTAGAAAGTGATTTTGGCAGGTTCTTATGGTGAAGTAAACATCATTTCTTTTTTTTTCACCCTTGACAAAGTTTAAATATTAAAAACATGACAATGGCCGGGCGTCGGTGGCACATGCCTTTAATCCCAGCACTTGGGAGGCAGAACTCTGTGAGTTCGAGGTCAGCTTGGTCTACAGAGTGAGATCCAGGACAGGCACCAAAACTACACAAAGAAACCCTGTCTTCAAAAACCAAAAACCAAAAACCAAAACCAAACAAAGAAACAAACAAAAAAACATGTTAAATGTTTTCTTCCTTAGCAGTTTTCCAGACAGTATGTGATATCTGTCAATCAGAGCTGACCAACTGTTAAAAAAGTGTCTCTATAAATTAATGAGTTCATGTATACTCCAGAGACTTGACACACTGAAGCTCTTTTGGTTATGATTGCCCCTCTTGGTCAGTTAAACTCCAGTTCTTGAAGTTGTCCTGTGCTGCATAATGATGTGGTCACAGGATTAATGTCCATCTTATTCTGGGATGATGAAGGATGTAGAAGCCAAGTGTCCTTGTGGCGGCAACATCATTCTGATGACCAGAGACACTGTCATACTGTTTCTCTTTTACTCTGTCAATGACCATTTTAAAAGGGACAAACATCATCCATAGTGAGAAAAACAGCATGATTGTAACTTAAAAGTATAAATATTAAAACGAGTTCTTTTAACTTCATAGCCATCACTCTTGTCAAAGGAATTTTTGAAGCACTAAATTCTCTGTCCATCACAAACGTATTCAGAACTGACAGGTGAATTGCTGTGCAGAAATTTTCACCCACACCAAACCACATTCTTCAAGAAAGCTGTGTCCCCTCCCAGTTAAACTTTACTTTCATTATTGATGCATGGATACTCTTCATTTCAGCCCACAAAGAAGAACAGAGATTCCATGCCCACTCACCTCACTTTCGTAGCTTTTGAGCTTGAGGCCAAGGAAATTAGAAAGGTTTCTAGAAGTCACTCAGAGTTGACCAGACCAGGGCTAAAGCAAGTCTCCCAATCCTCCTCCTGTCCCAGTCCACTGTGGGGCCACCACATTGCTTCATCCAGGAATATCACAATGGCACCTTCCTTCTAACAGCTTCTTTGTTTTGTCTTCCTGATTCATCTGGCAGGCCACCATAGAGGAAAGGAAGAAAGATTTCATGCAACAGAATGAAGCAGCATCTCTCAGTCACTGCCAGACTGAGCTGGAGAAGCTTTCAGAGCCCCTGAGGGAGAGCATCTCACGTGGAGCTTTCTCTGTTCCTGGTGGGCACAGCCTCTACTTAGAAGCCAGGAAGAAGGTTAAACAGGGCTACCAGCAAGTGCCCAGGAAGGGAGTGAAGGTGAGGAATGGGGCAGGTGTGGTCAGACAGCTAGAGCACAGCTACGGGGGTAAGTGCTACTCCTGGAATCGAAGAACCTACCTTCTCTGAAGAAAAATCAGAGTATCTTCTATGGCCATTCTAGTCTTTATACCCACAAAACACTATATGATACTAAATAACTAACAAATATTCATTTCCTCAGAATAGACTTATAACATAAATTCAAATGAAAGGGAACATTAGTTTATTGAATAATCTGTTACTTTTTGATCAGAGTATTCATGTTATTAGAGAAAGAACTTTTATTCTCAGGAAGCCTATGATCTTAGCTGACATGGACAAATAGAGTTATGCTTGCTAAATAGGAACTAGTCATTCAACTTAAAGAGATGGAGGTAGCAGTGGAGATGATAGTGGGGGGGTGGTGATATGGATACTACCATATTGAGTACTCGTTTTCTATATTAACTTAGAATTATTTTTCTCATTAGAATATCAGTTTACTACAAATGACAGAATGAATTGGTTTGCAACAGTATCTCTATTGTACAGTTGAGGGGTATGCTGAACAAATAAACTCACACAGATTTGCAAAAGAAGCAGGACAACTTCATTCAGAGTGAAGCAATCATTTAGATAAGAGAGGAGGACACTGTTCAGATTGACAGAGGCCATATAAGTAAGGATACTCAAATGACCCAAATTCCACCCTGGGCCACTTTGAATGGATCTAAAGAAGGCAGAGGCAGTTACTACAGTCATAGTTTGAGTTGTTCTCTACTTTGAAGGATAGATTAAGTCACACATTCAATTTCCTTAATACTCATGCCTTTTCTCACATATAATATATCTGATTTTAATCACATGAAGGCTCAGTTGTGCATAGGCATGAGATGCTAAGTATAGGTATTCTTCATAAAATTTCACTTGAAGGACAAAATTTGCCTGACAGAACTGTGCATGCACTGAAAACTGCTTGAGGCCAGATCTATTATATTGGATGCACTGGCAAAATACTTGAATAGAACCTGTCACGGTTTGATTGACTTAGGGGTGGAGATACTTAGACTGTTGTTCGGAGAGGAGTGTATATGTAGCCAGTGCAGGGACGCAATGGGAGGGTCTGAGGGTGTGTTGTTTTGAGAGGGATATGTGTGCACAGTACACCTGGGTAAAGAAATCAGGCTGGCAAGTGCATCATTACAAGACAGGGAGGGATGTATACCCTAAACCAAATAAGGTCCCAGACTACTAATCTATTCCCTAAGCCTGCCTGCCTCATATGTGTTTGTGGAATTGTGTAATTTGGTTTCTTTTAATACTCTTTACTCTTTTGGCTCTTTGCTCTTTGGGGGACCTGACACCCAGCTTCCAAGTAAATACAGAGGCTTATTAATATTTATGACTGCCCAGCCTTAACTTGGCTTGTTTCTAGTGAGCTTTTTAAAACTAAATTATCCTATCTACCTTTTGCCTCTGGGTTTTTTACTTTTCTTACTTCTGTATATCGTACTTTCACTCTTACTCCATGGCTGGCTGGGTGGCTGGGTGGTTGACCCCTGACATCCTCCTCTCCTTGTTCTCCTGTTCCTTGATCCTCTTCTCTCTTCTGTTTTTCTTCTATTTATTCTCTCTGCTTGCCAGCCCCATCTATCCTTTCTCTTGTCTTGCTATTGGTCATTCAGCTCTTTATTAGACTAATCAGATGTTAGACAAGCAAAGTAACACAGCTTCACAGAGTTAAACAAATGTAATATAAAAGAATGCAACACATCTTTGCATCATTAAAACAAATGTTCCACAGCATAAACAAATGTAATATGTCTTAAAATAATATTCCACAAGAGAACTACACACAGTTCTGGCTGGGGCTGCTACCCAGAGTGGGTAGTGGGTGACATTTCTGGGAAACGAGGCTGGAGAGATAGCAGGAGGTTGTTACAGAAGGCTGTTTAATCTCAGGAAAGAAATCATAGACTTTGTTACAACCACACAGTTAAAGGACTCATGAAAACTAAAGCAGGATTCAAATATTGCCGTCAGGTTAGTAATTTCATTAAATGATAACTCTTTCCTCAGAAGAATACATCTTGCTGCTTAAGGTCTTCTCTCTTTTGGTACCCAGGCAAATGAGGTGTTCCAGAACTTCCTAAAGTCACTGATCACTACAGAAGACTCCATCTTGCAGTCAGATAAAGCCCTCACTGATGGACAGAAAGCCATGGCAGGTAAAGAGGAGGGCTTAGCTCTCAGAGAATTCCTATACATCCCCCAAACAAGGAGATCTTTCCTGTATCCTCTTCCCAATCTCAAAACCACAATTGGGACTGGTGTCGCCTGGCTAGCCTGTCAGGACAATTCCATCACATATGGAATCAGTGACTACTGATTGGAAGACACAGAGAGTTTCTATAGGGAAATCAGCTTGATCTCTGAAGTTAGGAGGGTAGCTCTCACTTCTGAATGTCCTTTCTTCCCTCTCTAAAACCCCTGTGGACAGCTGAGCAGGCCAAGAAGGAGGCAGCCGAGAAGGAACTGGAGCTGAAAAGTCAGCAGCAGAAGGAACAAGAGCAAATGATGGAGGCTCAAAAGAGAACCTTTTCAGAAAACATGGCCCAGCTGCAGAAGAAGATGGAGAGGGAAAGGGAGACCCTTCTGAGAGAGCAGGAGAGGGTACTGGATCACAAGCTGAAGGTAAGGACACATGGGATGGAAGTACCTGCTAGACCTTGGCTCCCTGGGAAGAAAAAGTATGACATTGTCAAGGAGATCATGATCCCATAGAGAACCCCCAAAGACATGTATGTGATCATGAGAACCTCAGATCTGCCTAGATCCTGGTCAAGCCCTTAATTCTAGAAACACATCACTTTCTGTAGCATTAGAAACCTAAAGAGTGTTGGAGTGAAGAAAAAAATATCCACAGGGGCTGCTCTTGTATATTTTAGGGTGGTTTCATTCAAAATGAAAATACCTCAGCCTACCATTCCTAAGAATTTTTAGCACAACTGTCCAGGATATCAGTTTGAAATGATCAGATTAGTCAGGATATGAACCTGAAGATCTGAATCCTGCAGTGTCTGTTTCCAGATCTGGCTGGTGCATTCTACACAATTAGAGTAAAGTGCAGTCTTTCTCCAGAGCGTGACAGCTCTGCTCTCAGGATAGCAGGTAGTTCCTATCATTTGTTACACAGATAGGGTTGGCTTAACTCACTGAAACTGAGACTGAATGAGAGTCAAAGCTGCAGCCCTGCCAAGTGGCATTGTATGGTGATATTTCATTTGTACTGAAATGTGATTTTATTTGTATGTTAATAAATAAAGTTGCCTGGGGGTCAGAGCTGATAGTAAGCCATAGTGGAGCTAGGCATTCGTGGTGCACGCCTTTACTTCCAGCACTTGGTAGGCAGAGCTAGGTAGATCTCTGTGTGGTCAAGGATACAGCCAGCATTGGAGACACACGCCTTTAATCTCAATACCAACCATAGAAGACCTGGAGGTCTGTACAGGCAGTGACAAGGCGGTCACATGGTTGGGTTTACAACCAATGAGAAGGCAGAACAGAAAGTCTATATAAAGACAAAAACACAGGAAGTAGGTCTCTCTTGACTGAAGAGGATCACTGAAGCAGGAAGGGTAAGGCTCTTAGCTCTGACCTCTTGGGCTTTTATCTTTACATTGGCTCTGTGTTTCTTATTTAATAAGACGGTTACTTCTACAGCATTGTGCTTTACTCTGTAGTTCTCAGGGCTGTCCTAGCCCCAGGTCCCCAGGTCCCCTTCACACCAGGGAGAGAATTGCAAATAAATATCTGCCATAGCTACTCTCACTCTTTAGGTCAGAAGTGTGAGGTTTTGGACAAACTTGTCAAATACTGTTTTTTATAGTTGGAGGAATCATGTACACATATGCTCAGCTGCTGACATTGTTAATTATGAAATATTAGTAGTGCATATTTTTAAAAATGGGCTCTCTCTTTTCATAGGCACTAAAAGAACTAATTCTTGATGGAATTGAGGAGAGATGTGATGATTTAAGAAGAGAAATAAGGCTAAGAGAAGAAGAGATGGAAGACATTAAACATAACTCCATTCAGAATATCCTTGATATTGCTGGCAATATATTAACTGAAGCACTTCCTGTACTGGGTAATATAGGGATTCAGCTTCTCAACTCCTATATGATAGGCTGAGGATTCCTGCAAAGTATAGTATGAAGGCCTCTTATGTGTTAGCAATACTGTGAAACACACTTTTTTCATGTGTGTGTCATCATGGATTCATTCAACAGCCATTTCAAATTAAAGACTTATCAAAGAATGTCAGAGGCCCACAACTTCCCCACCAAAATTCAACTAAAATTTCATTTGATAAATATAAATCATTCATGAAAAAGATGTAGTCAAGGCACAAAGGCAAATGGTCCACCCATAAATTCTCACCAACATAACTGCCCAACCAGGAGCTGAACAAATACAATAAACTTGTCAAAGTATACAAGAAAAAGCCCTCTACCTCATGCAAAGAACTACAGATAACTACAGAAGGCTAAGAGCAAGAGAAATACTCTTCTCCAGAGAAGAGCACACCAATTGGTTATCCAATATCAAATGGTCAACACTGAAAATATACATACAAATAGCATTGTACAGACTGAACAGCTTACATTTAGGAACACATATATGCATGCAATAACAATTAATGAAAAAAGAGGCCATGAATTTGAAAGAGAGCAAGGAAGGGTGTATTGGGAGGGGTTGGAGGGAAGATAGCAAAGGAAGAAATGTAATTTCTAATGAATAAATGAACTAATTTCTAATGTAATTTATATAATTACTATTATAATATCAAAAATTAAAAAGGTAAAAAAAGGTAAATGTTTGCAATGCCTATTTCAATCCTGTGCATTATTTATCATAAACTTTTTGTGAGACTGCCAACCACATTTCAATAGGCATAAATATGAGGAAAAAGTATGTTTGGATGAAATAAAATCCTACAAAATGAAATTAAGAGGTTTATGTTTTACTTGTATTATGAGCAAGAAAAGCATGTTGGCACAACATTTGTTGAGTTTTATGGAGTTTACAGTCTCTCATGTTTGATGGTAAGAAGGGACATGTTGGAATTATACATCAAAATTTAGTATGCATATACTTCTGACCTGTAAAATCCATATTCAGGAATTTCTCTCATGGGTCATTTCTCCAAGTGAAAACGACACTTACAGTGAAAGATGTGTTCTTAGTTAGGACTTCTATTGCTACAAAGAAACACCATGGCCAAAAAGCAAGTTGGGAAGAAAGGGCTTAATTGGCTTACACTTCTATATTATTATTGATCATTGAAGGAAGTTAGGGCATCAACTCAAACAGGGCAGGGACCTGGAGGCAGGGCTGATGCAGAAACCATGAAGAGATGCTCCTTATTGGCTTGCTTCTCATGGCTTGCTCAGCTTGCTTTCTTATAGAACCCAGGCCCACCAGCCACAGGATGGCACCACCCACCATGGCTGGGCCCTCACCCATTGATCACTAATTGAGAAAGTGCCTTACAGCTGGATCTTATGGAGGCATTTCCTCAATTGAGGCTCTTTCCTCTGATGACTCTAACTTGCATCAAGCTGACACAAAATCAGCCAGTACAGATGTGTCACAGGATGATTGTCTTGTCAAAATTCTGGAACAACTTTAATGCTCTTTTGTTGGCTCTTGGTGATGAACCTAAATGAAAAGGGATATTCTTTATCTACCCAAATTAAAGGAAACCACTGTTTGTACTGATATAAGAAAGTCTTCAGGAGTTACTATAACTGAAAGTGATACACACAGTTTGTGAGTGCTGCACTAAGTTAAGAAAATAATGAGGATTTTAATATCTTATTATCAATGTATAGTAAAATACAAAATAAGTTAGTATTCATGACTACCACATGAAGATAACTGAGGTAGGGTAGAAAAGGACCACTAACATTAAATTATCTATTGTTTGAATTTTACATTTCTCATGAATTTATTATTCATATTCATTTAAATATTTAAAAATGACAAACATTAAGAATGCAAACAGTCACATGGAATGAGAGCATTCATGGCAGGATGGAAGTCTTTAATGTAACTAGAAACAGCTTGAGTCAGCCTATAGGAGACAGAAGGTATGTGCCATACCTCTCATTTTATTCTCTTCCAGGCCTCTCAATGAGGAATTGAAATTCTAATTCCTACATTGCTTCACAATAGATGGCACACTTTGATATTGCTGTAATGATCTTTAAATCTACCCACCACACAATTTATAAAGATGATGAATCACAAAAGACATTATTTTCTTTTGTGTCAACTCAACACGTTAAGAATCTTTTCAGTGACATAGTGGTCAAGACTATTATAGAAGAATGAAAGTCAAGTAATTTCCACCCTTGGAAGCTTTCTCTTGACTGTGAGCTTCTGCATGCTGCTGCACACAGACACACAACTTTGAACAGATCAGCTTCTCCATCCCATGTCCTTTATTTGTGAGTTTGCTTTGCCTTAAAGCCTTGCATTTGCTGATTGCTACAGACAAAATGAGGTGGCCTGTCTCTGTATTGACATTGTACCAGCTTGTCACGATTATAATTATCCATTTCTATGACATCGAAAAGCAAAGCAATCTGTGTTCAGTTCTTTCCTGCTGTTTCTTGGTTTCAAGTGTTAGTCATATTCATCATCGTATCTGTGCATGTGAGTGTGGGTGTGGGTGTGGGTGAATACGTGCATGTGGGGTAAGTGTGTGGGAGGGGTGTGTGTGTGTGTGTGTGTGTGTGTGTGTGTGTGTGTGTGTGTTTGTGGGGGTAGTGGTGTGTGTGTTCCTGTGACAGGGTGGGTGCTTGTGTGCTATGGTGAACTTTTGGAAGTTAGAGGAAAACCATGGGTTCCAGTCTGTCTTTCACCTTGATTAACCAGGTTGTTGTTTTGCTGTTGCATGTACCAGGTAGCTGATCTTTGAACTTCCAGGGATTTTTGTCTCTGCTTACCATCTCTCTGCTTTACATGGGTTCTGGGAATCCAAACTCAAGTTTGCAAATATAAGCAAGGGATAGTGAAACCACCAAACTAGACCACTCCATGGGTAGAAAGAAGAAGTTTTAGGACAAACTGGCAAGCTTCCTCAGCGATTAGAGACCAGCAGCTTGGGGAGGAATGTCTTGTTAGTGTCATCTGCACAGGTAGCCATGGGAGGAATGTCTTGTTAGTGTTGTCATCTGCACAGGTAGCCATGGGAGGAACGTCTTGTTAGTGTCATCTGCACAGGTAGCCATGGGAGGAATGTCTTGTTAGTGTCATCTGCACAGGTAGCCATGGGAGGAATGTCTTGTTAGTGTCATCTGCACAGTTAGCCCTGGGAGGAATGTCTTGTTAGTGTCATCTGCACAGGTAGCCATGGGAGGTGGGTGGAGGTCAGAAGAGCTGGGGAGTCAGTACGGGGATTTTGAACTCATACCTGCTTATCGGATTAATCAGGAGCCAGATACACGTTGCTGTTGAGGATGGAGAAGGGAAGTAGTTGCTTTCCTCACAGACAGAAACTTGCCTTATAGCTATGGTTCTCAACCTGTGGGTCGCAACCCTTTTGGGGGTTAAAATCACCCTTCACAGGGGTAACTTAAGACAATCTGCATATCGGATATTTACATTAAGATTCAGAACAGTAGTAAAATTCCAGGTATGAAGTAGCAACAAAACTAAATTTATGTTTGGTGGTCACCACAACATGAGGAACTGTATTAAAGGGTTGCAGCATTAGGAAGATTGAGCACCACTGCCTTAGAGAATTCTGAGGAATGCCTACTTTAGGTTTCTCATTACGCAGTTATAACCCTTCTCTTTGCCTGTAAGAATCTGACCTGGTTTGGACCCAGACATGCTCTTAGAACATGGTAAGCAGCACTGCCAGTTTTGGAGTCTACTTTGTGACCTACCATCTCAGCCGTTTGTGTGAAATACATCTGCCTACCCGCCCCCCCACAAGATTCCCATCAAAATTGGTGTGGACTGAAGTTAGGTGGGGGTCACAAGGCACTCTGTGGGAAGGTTTGAGTGCAGGTGGAGCATCCTTGGGTAACAGCCCTCAGTGGGGCAGAAAGGCTGGGTTGGAAAAGAGAAGCTGGAGGAAGTGGTACAGAGGTCATGACCCAGCGTGAAAGGACTTGAGAATAGCTGTTTTACCTGGGTGTCAGTGAGATAGTACCTGTCCTGTAGAATGAGCTATCCCTGGGAGGCCCATACCTGCTTCCATAGTCTGGAGGGCTTGCCTTTGAGATGTAGGGAAGATTTAGGCTTAGAGCAGCCAAGAAGAGGATAGAGAAAGGAGGATGAGGTTCTGGCTGGCCTCTCCAGCAGTCTTGTCAGCAAAAGCATTTCCCAGAGTCATATTATTAGTAGAGGCCTGGGACCTGGCGGAGAATAACTACTACTTGCTTGGGAAGATATGATTTTTCCTGCAGCTTTAGGATTAGAGAACTGCTGGTAATAGGTGTGCCTTGGGTGGTGAGAAAGCCCCTCTCTTACCAAATGGAAACATGGTGGTGGTGGATGTGGGATGCATATTTAGAAGCTGTGTATACATTAAGGGTTTTGACCTGTGCTAGGGTGCATCTCTAGCGATGGCTCTGTCTTCTTCTGCAAAGTGGTGCCTGGTGGTAAAGGGGCAGATTTTATAATTTAGTCAGAGGAGACTCAGGCATAGCCCACTTGGCAGGAGCCAGTGGAGCTGAGAGATGAGCTTCCATCCATGAACCAAGTGTCACCAGGTTGTGACAGAGGGGCAATAGCAGATTTTGGAGTTTTGTGGGTAAGGGGTTTGAGCGACTCTAGGCAGGAATGGGTAAGGGTAGTAGCCTTGGGTAGGAGTGTAACAGGGTTGAGAGGAGGGCAAGCATCAAGTGAGATATCAGGATTTCCTAGGAAGGTGATATGAAAAAGTTGAAGCTTAGAAGGGGAAAAAGTAGACAGGCTTTTGTGTGAAAGGAGCCCCTTGAGCCCGAGTGGTGTGAGGACACACACAGAGATCAAAAGTGAGTTTAGAGGCCTCCTGGACCAATGAGGAGGCTGTTGCTAGTCCATGTATGCAAAGTTACTATCACCTAAATGTTGCATGAAGCTGTTTGGAAAGATAAGCAACAGGACCTTTCATTTGTTCCCAAACTATAGGTTCATTCACCATTTTTTCAATAGTATAAAAAATAAAAGGTTGGTCACAATCTAGGAGAGCCAGAGCAAGGGCCAATGCGAGTAGATCTCACAAACAAATGAAGGCAGGTATGACAGGCTTAGTCAGGTCAAGGGGCTCAGTTGGAGGACCCTTGGCTGCTTAAAAGAAAGGGCAAGCAAGAAGACCAAAATTGAGAATCCAGGTTTCAAGATAAGCCACCAGTTCCAGGAAGGAAAGAATCTCTTCCTTGATGGTAGTGGTGGTGTGAGGGACTGCAGGAACTGTCTATGATTGAGGGTGGGTTTTCAGGAGTTAACTGATAACAGAAAGCCTAGATACATGATCTGAAGGCCAGATCCAAGTGAGCTGAGACTCTGCTCCAGTGTCAGGATCTTTCTAGGTGAAAGCAAAGATGTCCAGTCAATCTGGATGTAAAAGAATGGCAAAGAAATCATCCTTAAGGTCTAAGACAGTAAAGCGAGAAGCAGAGGGGTGAATCTGAGAAAGCATAAAGATTGGGCACCTACAGGTGTGTAGGAAAGAATGTGGAAATAATCCTGAGGACCTAGGCTCAGGTGGTAAGAACCATTATGCATGGCCAACACAGAAGTCTTACAGGGTTAGTGAGTGGGTTTGAGAATACTTTTATTAAGAAGGCATTGTATACTTTAGGCCTTGTCTGTTTTAAGGAGATGTGGTATTCAGAGCTACAGGGTTAGGAGGTAGGGTCCTGGAGCAGGATCTTAAAGGAGGAGTTTGTACATTTTGT